CTGGGTTTAGAGATTTCAAATTCCTCCTGAGCCTCATGGAAGCGATTCTAAGAACTATAGTTGTACACTTAATTATATTTCTAGGAGACACAAGTGACAAAATATGTCACCAAAAGAAATTACTTCTATGGTTACAGAATCCACTCCTCTTCAATAATAAAGAAGATAGTGCAGAGACTAGCAAGAGTGCTTTACCATTATGAAAAACATAAAAGCTGAAGTAGGGATTTTAAAGGATAGAAGATATTGAACAAGGGTGACTTATAATTCTACGTTGCAATCAACCCCATTCCCTTTTAAAGACATAAGTCTGGGTACTGTAAAACTGAAGCTGTTCAGCACAGATGACTGATGGAGACAAATTAGATCTACTTAAATGAAGCATAGGCATTGAGATTTGTCCTTAGTGATCCTTTGCTACATCCATTACAACAGAACTCTTACCATAGAACTGACTTCAATAAGTTGAAAACTAGCACACTTTTGTTATTCTTTTAAACTGTCTTTCAGTTTTGATCCAGGATTTCTCCTTACTGCGTAAAAATTCAGAATACTCTAATAATCTAGGGTCAGGAATTTATATCAGAAATGCTAAGCCATTAAACATGGGTAATGGAAAATGGTATTTCATGTGTGTATTAATGCAAGTGCACCACCCAAAATACATTTGATTCGCATATAACTTTGTGTTTACTTCAAGGCTTTTTCTCATGCCCTTTATTTTGGGGGTTTATCTCATATTTGAGCATTGGCTGGCCAAGTGCTAGGAATTTGGTTGATATTATGTGGTAGATTTATTCTTTCCCCGGAAGAGAGACAAACATAAACAGATCATCCAGAATGCATTTTGCAGGGCTTTTAAAGACACTAGCATGAAAAACCTAAAGCATTAATATGTAAATACCAAACTTTAAAATCTTTCCTCTCAAGTAAGCATATTTTCATGTTTAGTGGTGCATTTAAAAAAGCAAAATATGTTGTGAAATGAACGGGTTTAGCTGCCATGTCACTGTTTTTTCAGTTAACAATAGTTAAACAAGTTCTGTATTTTATGAGTAATTTCCAGGGAAAGGGACTACAACATCTATTTGTTTCTTTAAGGACAAAACACAATAGGGATGCTAACAAACCTACTCACTGTTTCCATAGAAGAAACTCCTAAAATGATGATCAGATTGTAAGGAACAATTACAAGGATGTCACAAGGATGTTACAATCACTGACTAACATCTTCCAAAATGAATAAAGGTTGCAAATGCTTTATTAATATACAGCTCAATTCACATAACGTGTTTGGCCTTATATTCAACTACTGGTATATCTCACTACAGACTTACTGATGTTAGCTCAAATTTAAAAGTTTATGCCAGCCAATGGATCTTATTGACACGGTGGTTTAAAACTAAATCATCGTTACTGCCCTACTGACGCTTTTAAGATTTTAAACTTCTGGTTCTAGCTTTCCTTCTTCCAGAGCTAATCTCCACCTCGCTACTATGTTTCTGTGTTTTCTACCAAAGGAAATAATGGAAAAAATCTTTTCACATTTGAAACCTTTCAGACAGTAGTTTTTTTAAAAAAGGGGTGCGCATTGGGGGGAGGCATTTGGATGATGCAGCATTGAGATACTGGGTAGCAAAGGGCTGGAGAGATGTATATGTGCGCGCGCGCGCGTGTGACCTGAATTTGTATATTTGTTTAAACATCCTAGAACTTGGAATACTAATTGAAGTGAAGTTGTGCCTGTTTCACTTGAAACTACAGGAGTATGTTATCTTTAATTACATAGAACAGAACAGGAAAACCTCTCATTGCCGGATAAGTCAGCAACAGTCACCTACTGGCATTCTTGAAGGCCAGGTGGCATTTTCCCAGCTCCCAAGGCTCTGATTTTCTAATCAAAAACTCTCTTGATTTTTGTGTTGAACAGGATCTACAGCCCCTTCAAAGAGAAATATTTTTTGTCTGTTTCTTTTCAAAACCCAGGCATAAGAGAAGCTATCCGGGTAATATCCTTGTGACAAGGGACAGATTCTTCCACATCCCAAAACTGCCAGACTCGCAGGATCGTGTCTCAAATGTGTTTTGACATCTCCTATGTCTTTACTGTCAGGCACACTACACAGCATATCAAAGTTACTACTTGTGGACAAATGCTTGCTAAAATATGCTAATATAATAAAATACATTAACAAATTTCACTATGTTTCTTAAGACCATTGAAAATGTTGATGGCAGAAACAGTTTTTGTTACCCAAAAGTGTTAAAACCAGATGCCACCACCATACAAGGCCATTTATTAACATTCTTACCAGTGCAACCTCAAAAAGACATGACCTATATACTTTTTCTAAAGTTGGGAAGATGTGTGTGAGTTTTCTTTCTTTTCCTTTTCTCACTTATTTTTTTAATTCTCAAGGAGGGAAGTCATGGCTTAAATGGAGATATAAATAAGATAATGGAGATATATATAAGATGTTCTAATGTTTGCCAGTTACTGTGTGCTACTTCAATAGGACACAAACTGAATACATTTCCTTGGTGAATTTTTCAAGTCTAAATGTAACTGCTTCATTCTTTTAAATTAATATTCAAGCTTTGTTGTCTAGTATGTCTATTTAGAGATAAATTCTTTGCGTTCTCTTTCAGTATCTTTCTTGTCAGACCAATGTGCTTGAAATAGTGTTGAAAAAAAATTAATTGAAGAAACCAAAATGCAGTTATTGCCCCTAATATACTGTACAATGCTGAGGGAAGATATACAGTAGGTAATAGATAAAAAAGCATTGGCTAATGCTAGCACATAAGTTAGGACACAACAGAATAAATGCATTGGTCCATTGTAGCGTTTTATTATTCAGCCAATCTAAACTCCTGAAGAAATATGTGTTTGGGACATTTTACATCTGTTTTTGACAAAGACAGCAGAAGATTCCCATAAGGAGATTTTTTTTGTTCGACTATTTGCTCCAGTCAGTTTAAACCATATTAACAGGGAAATGGCAAGGGAGTTTATAAACTGAATGTTTATAGTTTGTTTGAAAAGGCTGTTTTGCTTTATTTGCATCTAAATCTAAAGCACCACCAAAGAAAAAAAGAGACCTGTCTTATTCATGACCATATTAACAAAATATATAACCTAAAAAATTCAAATTGTCTGGAAGAATGAAATGGATAGACATTTTAGATTAGTGAAACTAACCTCCTTACAGGTTTCTGTGAATGAACCATAGAAACATTAATTACGACATCGCAGAGATTTCAGTAAAGACATTGAAATACTTTGTTTCACATGCAAATGAAACACAAAGTTTTCTAAATTTTCTAAAATGTTCACTATCTACATTTTACTCCTACACTTGCTTTTTCAAATTGCATCTTGCCAGTTGCATCAAGGTTGTTGTCTGAATCATTAGTTGTTGATTAAACATGGATTTTCAGCAACAAATCCCAATGAACTAAAGCAAGCTTTCTTTTTTTTCTTTTTTTCTTGTTTTTTCTTTCTTTTAAGGAGCTATTTCTATTTGGGAAATGCAATTATTTGACTTTGCTGTGTGTTATACTTCAAAATGAGAATGTCCCTTTTATTCTGTTCTTTACTAATAAGAGCATTCATACTACGCAAAATGTTGACCTGGCTTTGTTCTGCATCTCAGATGCTCTTTGCCAGGCAACAAAACAACAGGAACATATGTGAAGTCTGTGAAATATAGCATAACTTACAGATAGGGCTGGTGTGCTTACGGTAAGGCGAGGGCATTTGTTTGTGTGTGTGGTGGGGGTGTCCACCTCACAATCTTAAAAAGGAAACATAAGAGGAAGTAGTTTTTTATATTGGAAACTGAGGAAGAGTTCAGTAAGTAAAAAACTATGTTAAAGTCCAAAAGAGTTTGGCACCAGCCCTAATGTTACTGGCACAGGCGGGGAAGGGAAACAAGTGAATATGAAATTGAGAGGGGTTCGTTCTATCTGTGTTTACTTTTATTTGCAAGGGGAGAGGGGAAGTGGGCACAGCCCAGGCAAACAAGCACAGGATATCTGCTGACTATACAGAAATATTGCTCAGATCAGAGCAGGAGTGATTCTTTGCTGAACCCCCACAATTGCAATTGCAACGCTATAAAAGTACTTAAAGCCTGTTTCCTAGATGCTGACACTTTTAAGACACAGCCATGCTCCAATCCAACCAGCAGCTGTTTCAGATCTGGTTGTCAGTAGGTTTCACTAATTCTTTTCCTTTATCTCCTATACTTCTCTAAGAAATCTGCCCTGGCAAATTTCATTATATTGGCCATTCAATTTTATTGCTTCCTTCTTGGTAGCAAACCTTTCAAAAGGCGAAAGCAGGGATCGACTCGAAATGAGGCAAAGAGCATATTTTTCATACTAGAATCTGCCCCTCTTTAAATGTGTCCACCCATCAAATAGTCATCTTGATAAAAAGATCTTCAGCTTGTAATCTAGATGTTCATGGCCTGCACTTAAAACCAATACAATCGCCAACACCCTTGCGCTAGCGAGAGATTTCCTCATCCCTGTTCTAGACTATCACCTGGATCCCTGCCTTACCTGTTTTGCGGATTTTTTTTCAAGTAACTAGAATCTGCTAACGCCTTCCCCGCACCCTTTAAAAATAAGATTCAGGTCTATGTTGCGGCATAGACGACATGATGCTTTCATCGCTCGTGCTCTT